CCCCCCCCCGCCCCCCCCCCCCGGCGCGCCAGCCGGCCTGCCGGCATACAGGGCTCCGGTGTTTCGCATCGCAGACGCAACGCTTGGTGCAGGTGTTATCCCCCCAAAACTCCTCGCGGAGGCCGTGGAGGCGGCCCTGGAAGCCGCACTCGCTCCGGGGGATGCACTCGTTGGCGTCGAGCGCGAAGCCCTCCTGGCACTCGCAGGTCTCCACGCAGGCCGAGGCGCCGCAGTCGGCGGACGTCGCACCGTTGTTGCAGGTGGTGGGGCAGGCGGTGCCGCACGCGGTGTAGTTGCTGTTCTTGGGGCAGGGGAGAGCTGTCAAAGGGACGGGACAACCATGGTCATGGGGAGGGTGGGACACCACGGTGACGGTGGAGAGAACGCTCCTTGGCCATGAGAAAGTGCGGCAAAGCGCTAAGAAACCTGCATGGACCTTCGGAATGCACTTTCTGACCTGCATGTGCCTTCGGAATGCACTTTCTGGAGGCTCCGTGGACCTTCTGGACTACCCACATGGACTTTTGGGAGTCTCCGTGACTTTCTGCACAGACATTTTGGAGCCTGCACGGTCTCTCTGGACTTTTGGCAGAGACTTTTGGGAGTCCCCATGGACTCCCTGGAAGTTCTGCTTTGGCATGCATCTGGAGCCTGAACAGACGACTACTTCCCGCAGGAGGTGAGGAGCGCTGGGACAAGTTTCCCAGAGAAGCTGTGGATGCCCCATCCCTGGAAGTGTCCAAGGCCAGGCTGGATGAGGCTTGGAGCAACCTGGTCTGGTGGAAGGTGTCCCTGCCCATGGCAGGGGGGGTGACAGGGGGGGCTTTAACGTCCCTTCCAACCCAAACCATTCCATGATTCCGTGACTTTCTGGACTTCCAGCAGAGACTCTTTGGAGTCTCAAAGGACTTTCTGGACCTTCTGCTTGGACCTTTGGGACTTGGACTTTCTACACAGACTTTCTGGATGGATTTTCTGGACTTTCTACACTGACTTTCTGGAGTCTCCATGGGTGTCCTGGAGTCTGGATAGTGTTTTTGGGCTTGGATTTTGCTGCAATAACCTTTTCCAACCCGTGAACCTGTGGAGACCCACAGCCCTCAGCCCAGCCACAATGACCCAACCCCATCATGCTTGGGAGATCAAGAGCGCTAAGGAGAAAAAACCCACTCCCCTTGATCCAATTTCCCTTTTTACGCCTGTTTTCTGCTCATTCCCATCCCATTATCTCTCTAATTACACCTACCTTAATTAAAGTCGCACCGCCCTGCCCAACCCGGGGGAGGATTTCCCGCCTGCCAGGATCTACTCACGACAACGTGCCAGTGTCCTCCAGTCAGAAACGGTGACGCCCTCCTCCTGGCAGCTGTCCGCGTAGGCTTTGAGGGCTTGGCACAGCGTGACGTGGAGCCCGTCGTTCAAGCAGAGGTCGTACACGCAGTTTTTCAGGAAGACACCGGGGTCGACGGCGGCGTGGCAGCGCTCGAAGGGCCCCGGGCGTCGGGTGAGCAACCCGCAGGACGTGTCCACCTTGTACTTTGCCGCCTCGTCCCACCGGCAGCGCCCGCAGCAGCTGTCCAAGCAATGACGGCTCTCCTCGACCACTTTCCAGCTCTGGCCCAGCTCCACGGGATTCTGCGCCAGGTTGCCGTCGGGCATGAGGGAATCGTCATGGCGGTTACCGTTGCTGTTGCCGCACAACCCGCACACTTTGCCGGAGAACATCCCGGGGAGCTTCACCACCACGTGGTCGTCCCAGTCATAGAGGACCTCCAGCTTGAAGTCGGTTTTAATCAGCACGGACGTGCCCTTCTGCTGCAGGCGGAGTTTCCCTCGGGCGAGGGAGATGGGGAGGCGGGAGCGATGGTTGTTCACCTGGAGCAGGAACAATCCCATGAAAACAGACCGATAGCAAAACACGGGGCCAAAAACGGAGTTTTTTGAGATTTGAGATGTCTTCTTGCAAGAGACGGGGGTGCGGAAGTGTCACCGACCCATGCACAGCAAATCATAAAACCCTTTGGATTGGACAAGACCCTTCAGCTCATCGTTCAATACATTTTTCCAGTGAAACACCATAATACGACTTTGGATTTGATAATTATTTTCCTCGCTTACCCTCACGATCCCATTCTCGGACCTGACCACGGCGATGGTGACGTCATAGACACGGACAATCACGGAGCCGACGTAGGAGACTTGCGGGTTACCCCGGCGTTCGTTTTCGGCCTCGACGCTGAAGACGGGCAGGGCTGGATCCGAATCGCAGGTCTTGGTCAAGGTGTAGGTGCAGGTGCCCATGAAGTCAAAGGTTTTCCCATCAAAGGTTTGGTAGTGAGGGTCGCCGGTGGCCCAGCAGGTTGTGAAGGTTTCTTGGGTGGACGTGAGTTGCTCGTCCATCACCGCACAGTTCTCCCTGCTGCCCAGGTTTTCGCAGGAAAGCGGAGAAGAAGCTGCAGAAAAAGGGAAAAAAACCCCCATGGATGGCAACCACGGAGAAGACCCACGGCAAGATGCAACGGTGCGTTGGCCCTACTCACTTGTGGCGCAAAGACCGTTGAGGCCGTAACCGGCGTAATTCTGGAAGCCGAAGACCAGGACCCCAAGGGGCGTCTGCTCGTGCTCGACGCTCTGGATCTCCGAGGGCTTGTTCATGGGGACGGTGGCCCAGGAGAAGTCTGTGCCGGGAATCTCTTGCCAGGACACGGTCCTCTCAGTCTTCCGGTTGAGGGCGATGCTGTCGGTGTCCGTGTTTCGGGCGATGAGGACCACGTGGTTCTGGTAGCTGCTCAGGCTGCTGACGCGGTAGGATGTGCAGTAGGTGGAGATGGGTGGGATGTTGAGTAGGAAGGGGTCTTGGCTAAACAAGCGACTCCCGGCACCAGTGAAGAAGAAAACCACCTGAATCGCAGCCGAGGAGCTCACGTAAAGAGGCGAGTTTTGGTTAATCCTAAACTTCAAGACCTCTCCGGCCTCTACGTCCTCGGTGGCAGGCGAGTCACCCCTGCTGTAGGTGATGGCGGCGCCACGACGTAGGCGAAGTCAGCGTCCTTCTGCAGGGGGTTGGGGGGAACGATGTAACTTTTCCCCCACAGGGCGACGGGCAGAAGCTGCTCAACCACGTAGTCACAGCCCGTGTTCATCTTCACGCAGCTGTGCCCACTGACGACCGCGACGGCGTTGTCCGACGTGATCTTGGTGCCGGACAGATCGTCGGTGCTTTGCAGTTGGAAGCTGTGGTAGGGGTTCAAGAAGACGCGTAGGGTGGCCCCGGGGGAGTAATTCCTCCCTCTGTAATAAAACCTGCCCCGGATGTTGATGGAAACAGTGGCGGAAACCTTCCCGGCTGCCACAGCGAATTCCTTCAGCCCTTCCCTCTTGGTGCCCACCGGCGTCACCACGTAGTACGTGTTGCCCAACTTATCTACCGGCAGAACGGTGGTGGCACCTACGGAGTAGCTTTTGGAGCTGACGGAGACCACGGAGATGTCGTCGGTGGACTCAATCAGGATGGCTTTGTGTGAGATTTGGCTCCTGACCAGCTCCACGTTGCCAGGGACCTGGACGGAAACCGTCTCGTCTTGGCTCAGGGTGACGGTGCGGGTGAAGGCGCCGCTGCTCGTCGTCACCGTCACCTGGGTGGAGTCGGAGTAGGCCGTCAGGAGGAGCTGGGAGGCGGGCTGGGCGCCTTCCTCGTCGTTCTGCAGGAAGACGGTGAAGAATTCCCTGCCGCGGAAAGTTGCGGTGGAAAGGCCTGGGAAAAGAAGGGAAAAAAGGGTGATTTTGGGTGTTTGTTCGGGGATTTTTGGGTGTGCGTATTGGGCTGCAGCAACGACAATAGAAATTTCTGCGGAAGCAATAGGCCAGATCAAGAAATAAAACTGCTGCTTTTTTTTTGGTGTAGAAACTTGAGGGAAACTTTAGAGAAACAACAAGAAGTTCGGCAAAAAAGAAGGAATGAGGGGGTTTGTTTGGGAGAAAAAACCAAACCAAAGCAAACCAAACCAAAAAAAACCCATACACCATCGAACACTGAAAAAAAAAAAATATAAAAAATTAGGAAATACCATTTTTTGCAGCAGAAACAGAGTGGGAATTTTCCAAGAAACGAGGAAATTAATGTTGCTGCAGAAACTGCAATAGTATTTTCTGAAAATTTACTATTAGGGAATGATTTTTTAAAAATGTTCCTGGTAGAAACACAAACTTCAAAAGTCTTGAAACAAAAAAAATGCAGAATAAAAGCTTTTTGCTGCAGAAATCGCAATTATAAGTCTGGGGTTTGGGCTTTTTCTTTTTCTTTTTCTTTTTCTTCAAACAATGAAGTTTAGTTTCTACTGCAGAAATTGTAATAGAAAGGCCCAAAACCCAGAAATCAGGAATATGGGTATTTTGCAGAAGAAACCTGCAGAAAGTTCTGAGTGAAAAAAAAAAAAGGGGAGGGGGAGGGCGGGGCGGGGGGGGGGTGAAGATATTTTTGGGGCAAAAATTGCACTAGAAAACCCTAAAAAAATCCACTGGGTACTGGGTTGGTTTTTTGTTGTTGTTTGTTGTTTTGTTTTTTTTTTTCCCCCTGCAGAAATGTGCAGAAAAAGGCTTAAAAAAATAAGCTGGTGGGTTTTTTTTGTTTGTTGGTTGGTTGTTGATTTGGGTTTGGTTTGGGCTTGTTTGTGGAGGGAAACAAAAATAAGATCCTTCAGCTGGGAAAAAACCTGGGGAATAGGGTTTTTTTCTGTCAAGGAAATGGGTCGGAAGGGAGGTTTGCTGAAAATGTAGCAGATTTTAAGGGCTTTTTGATGCCTCCAGAAAAAACTCCCATAATAAGGGCTTTGTAAAACAATTCTTAAATTTGGTGCTTTTTTAAGAAAAAAATAATATGGGCATCATCATCATCATAACAACAAGAATAATAACAACAATAATCGTGTTATTGCAAATTATTATCAACATTATTAATTGCATTATATTATTATATAGTACAATATTAATCACTAATTAGCACACAATAACTTACTATGTAATTAATAAATAATACTATGTCATTTTATAATGATTATATGATGATAATAAGAATAACGACAACTATTATTATTGTTATTTCCAAACCCCATGGAATAATGGCATTTTGTATCACGAACAGGTGAGACGGATTTTTTTTTTTAACAAAACCACAGGGAAGGAGTTTTTTTCCTCAATAAAACCAAACCTCAGGCAAACCCGGGAATAAGGAGTCAGAGCTCAAAACCGAGGGGTGAAAAAGGCTCCTTCATTGCATTTTGTAAGGAAAAGCAGGTGATTTTTTTTTTTTTTTTCACAGAAAAATAAAAACCTCAAGTAATATGGGCGCTTTTTTAAATTTGTTTTTGGTAAAACCAGCAAATTAGGGCACTTCTTTTCCCCTTGAAGAAAACAGGAAATAAGGTGAAAAACACCATATTAAAACACCAAAAACATTTTGGTGAAAAACAGGGAATAATGAGGTTTGGCTGGAAATAAAAACAGGTAATAATGGTGGGGTTTTTTCTGAAAGCAAAGTTTTACGTTTCTGGAGGCAAAGTAGCTGATAAGGCTGGGGTTTTTTTTTTGTTGTTTTTTTTTTTTTTTTTTGTTAACCACCACAGCAGCAATTACAATCACATATGTTATTTGGAAATTGTGGGTTTGGTGAAAACCCAGGCTTTTTGTTTCCCTAAAAGGAAAGGTGAGAAGCACTTTTTCCTGTAAGGAAATGGTGATGAAGGCTTTGTTTCCTGACCAAAAACGAAGGTAATGAGGGCTTTTTGGTGAAAAGAGGCGTCATAGTTGGGGCGTTTGAGTGAAAGAAAACAGGTAACAGTGACTTTTTCTGGGGAAAACCCCAAAGCAGATAATAGGGACATTTATTCCTGAGAAAAATAAAGAGGTGACTGAGGAATAAAGACTTTTTTCTTAAAATAAAAACAACAAAAAGGGCTTTTTCCTTAAAAATAATTTTAAAAAAAGTGAAAGAGGAAATAAGGGCTTTCCCCCACCCTAAATCAAACCTGGTTTTAAGGGGTTTGTTTGTTTGGTTGGTTGGTTGGTTTGTTTTGTTTTTTTTCCAGAAATAGGTCATAAGATTCTTTTTAAATTATGTCAAAAATACCCCAAATCCAAACAATGAAAAAGTCTGGGGTGTTGGGGTTTTTTTGTTTGTTTGGGTTTTTTTTTTTGTGGTGTTTGGTTTGGTTTGGTTTAAATAAGGAAATAAGGGGTTTCTTTTCTGAAAAATAACAGGTGATAAGGGCTTTTTGGCTAAACCATAAAAAGCCCAAAAGCCGGGATAAGGATGTTCTGGTGAAAAAAAAAAAATCAGGGGATGAGAAACTTCTGGAGAAGAGGCAAAGAGGTAAGAAAAGGTAAATAAAAGGTACAAAAACTTTTTTTGGAGGGGAGGCTGGGTGGGGAAGGGCATAAGGGAAATCTTCTGAAAAACACATGATTGGGGAAATCACGAATTTTTGCTGCCGAAACCTGCAGTAGGAAGCCCTGAAATACACCCACGCCCCTCCGAACCCAGGATTTTAGGTTTTTGGGGGGCGAATGGGGTTGGGTTGTTGCTCACCGCAGACGAGAGCCAGCCAGGCTGGGAGCCACCGCGTCCTGCCCATCGTCCCTGGGGGAACAAACAAAAAGCCCAAAAATATGAAAATGCACCTTTTTGGAGGGGGCGGAATAAAAGCCACGCGGGGACGAGCAGGAGCCCAGAGGGGACCCAGGTGTCCCCCGCATCCTCTGGTGACCCAAAATTGTCCCAGAAGACTTTTTCTACCCCGTGGAAAACCTCTTGCAGCCCACTCTGGGGCTGAATCCTGCTCCACCCTTTCGGCCCAACGACCCCCCTGCTGTCCCCTTGTCACCACGTCCCACCCGACAGTCCCCAACCCCCTTCCTCTTCCACCCCGAAGACCCCATCCTCCCCCCTCTGTCCACCAGACCCTCCCAGTCACCCTCCACAACGCCTCCAGAGGGTGAAATCCTTCCCTGGAATCACCAACATTTGGGTCGAAAAGCGGACAAAGAGGGACAACCCTCCCTCCCGCCTTCTGGAGGTTCTCATCCCGATCCCCCCACCATCCCCCAACATCTGTTGGGGTTAATGCCCCAGATGTTGCACCCAGCGGTGGCTTTGGGTACAGGTGTCACCAAAAAACATCCGTATCTGTGCTCGGGAGGGGGAAAAAACACCCTTTTTATGTAGTTTTATACTCAATTTAAGCATCGGGGGCTCCTGCTTGGTGGGTGGAGGCACCACTGGCCCCTCGTTCTGCTCAGGTGGGAAACATTTGGGCTCGTGGCCGAAGGAATGAGGAGAAATGCGAGAAAAAAAGGCAAACTAAGACCCTCAACCCCCCGTCACTTACCTGGGGGCTCCTTCCTGCCTCAACGTCCCTCCCTGAAGCCCATGGACACGTGAGGATGGATAAAAAATCACAGACCTGTAGAGCTGGTCCCAAAACTTCCCTTTTTATAACCAGATGGGGCTTATCTCCGTTTTCCTGAGAATCTCCTCGCAGGGACAGGAAGGAGAAGGAATTGGCTCCAAAAAGGGGCCAATTTTGGCCGATTCAGCAGAATCTCGTAAAAAGGGGATGGGCTAGGGGCTGTCGGGTCCTGGCACGGGCCAAGGAGGTCAGCTTGCGAAACCGTCCCCGGGATTCCTGAGAATTTGGAGTTTCTGGTGCACGTGATGGAGCCAGGACTTGAAAATGTGCAGCTGGTTTCCTTCACCTGCTGGGTTTTCCTTGCAAAAAGTCTGGTGGGAACGTGGTGGTGGGCGCAGGATCCACGGGGGACGCTGTGGCGGCTGCCGCCAGGTCCGCAGGGGATGTTGCAGTGGGTGCAGGATCCGTGGGAGACGTTGCAGTGGGTGCAGGATCCACGGGACAATGGCAACAGGTGCAAGGTCCACGGGAGACTGTGCGATGGGTGTGAAATCCACAGGGGACGTTGTGATGGGTGCAGGGTCCGCAGGGGACGTTGTGATGGGGTGTAGGACCCAGAGGGGACTTTGTGATGGGGGTAGGACCCGAAGAGATGTTGCAATGGGTGTAGGATCCACAGGGGGTGTTGCGATGGGTGTAGGACCCAAAGAGACATTGTGAGGGGTGCAAGATCCTCAGAAGCTGTTGTGGTGGGGTGTAGGACCCAGGGGGGCAATGCAATGGATATAGGATCCACAGGGGGCATTGCAATGGGTTCAGGATCCACAGGAGCTGTTGCAAGGGGGATGAAAACCACCAGGTGTTGAGATGGTTGTAGGACTCAAGGGGATGTTGCAATGGGTGTAGGACCCAGAGGGGGTGTTGCGATGGGTGTAGGACCCAAAGGGACATTGTAATGTGTTCAGGATCCACAGGAGATGTTGTGATGGGTGTAGGGCCCACAGGGGCTGTTGTGATGGGTGTAGGACCCAAGAGGATGTTGCAATGGGTGTAGGACCCACAGGGGGCATTGCAATGGGTTCAGGATCCACAGGAGATGTTGCAATGGGTACGAAAGCTACTGGGTGTTGCGATGGTTGTAGGACCCAGATGGGATGTTGTGATGGGTGTAGGATCCACAGGTGACACTGTGATGGGTGTAGGGCCCACAGGGGCTGTTATGATGGGTGTAGGGCCCAAGGGGCTGTTGCAGTGGGTTCAGGACCCACAGCCATCCCTGCTTATTTAAAGCCTTTCCTGTTGCAAATGCCTTCGGATGAATAAATCCCTCTGCACGCACGACGCCCCAGCGGCACCCCAGCACCCTTCCGAGGCTTTCACTCTTCCCCCCACCCCTAAGACCCCCCCCGAATTTCATCCAACTGCTGGAAAGGGATGCACTCCCAGCGCGTTTTGCCCAGTGACCCCTGTTGGCTGCCTCCAGGGGTGATGGGGGGGGTTGGGGGCAAAGGGTGTTTTTCTGAGATTAATTAGAAAATCCCTCGATGGGAATTCCTGAGAACTGCAAGCCCACCCCACATCTGCCGCGTCTCCATGCCAAAACCTTATCTGGGATTCAGAAAACAGCAGGAGGAGCCAAATATCTCCCCCGTCCCGAAATCTGCCTTCCCCGTGACCCCGTGGGACGACGGACCCGGGCTGCCGTGATGGGCAGAAAGTTGGCGGATTGCACCGTGTTTACAGTTTCTTTTTTTCATGGCTGGGAGGGCTGAGGGTTAAAAGAAGGGGCAGGATGCAACAGAAAACCCATTTCTTGGTGGCTGAGCTCGTGCCGGTGCCTCTTTCCTCCTCTTTGTGCCATTCCTTGGGGAAATCGGGACGCAGCACGCCATCGAGGTAAGAGATTTTATTTCCATTGCGAACGCCCGTGGCTCCCCTAAATCCCCTCCCTTCCAGCTGCTCAAAGAGCAGGAATTTAAGCAGTCGCTCTCAGGTCAAATAGCTTAAAATCACAGGAAAACGCGCCTGGAAAAGCAGCCGATTTGGGGTGAAGGAGGGTTGTGCTGCTCGGGGTCTGGAGGTCGTTCTGCCGGACACGCAGGTGGGTGCTCACTAAATCGCTCCGCTCGCACACCGCGTCCTCCGTCCCGCCTCAGCTGCTCTTTTTCCGGCCCCAAAAATGTTTAGATGGGTTTGGTTTTTTTTTCAGCAAAATGCCTCAAAATGATGCTCAGCGTTGCGGTGGGAGGGGGTGACTCCCATGGGGAGGACCCCTGGGTTCAGTCCCCGGGTTGGGGCAAAAAGGGATGAGTAAAGGGTTAAGGGACATCTGATTTCTCTCAATTCTCAGACAGCAATAAAAATAAAAGCTTTTCAGTGATGTAATTATTTAAAAAATGGTCAGAATAATTCACCAACCCCCTCCCCACAAAAAAATACCGTGAAAAGAGCCCGGCTGGTATTTTATTGAGAAACTTGCCACCTCCAGCGTCGTCGGGCTGTTTCATCCATTGGTTGCGGGTTTATTTTCCATCTTTACAGAATTATCACCGTTTCGTGGGAGCTGGGATGAAGCACTCCGTGGCTTTGCTCTTGCTCTTAGGTAGGTTAAGAGAAAACCAGACGCAGCTTTCTCCCGAGGATGCTGCTGGAGGTGAAAGTCGTGGGGGATGGTTGTTCCCGGGTTAATATTTCCTCCCATCCCTCCTCCAGGAGCCGTGGTGGACGTCCAACCGGTGGAGGAGAAAGGTGGGTCTTTGGGCGGGGGAGTCTGGCGTTCATAGACCGTATTTCCACCCAAAACGGGGTTGTTTGGGAAGCGGGAGAGGGAGCAGAGCTTCCCCCCGCCCCTCCAGCTACAGAGTATGGAAATCAGATGTCCTGGTTTTGCACCGTTTATCCTCAAATCTGCGTGTACCCCGTGGAATTCCCATGGGGCAACTCCCTTCAGCCCCGGTTTTACCCCAACCGTTGGACACCCCAAGTCAACCCCATTTTTTAGGTAACCCAGGGCAGAGAGGGCTTGTTTAACCTCAGGAATCCCAAACCCGCTGGGCTTCACCCCAAAGGTGAAGGGGGTTTCATGAGGGGTCCAAGGGGTCCCCCCATACTTCAGCCTTTGTCTTCCTGCAGCGTCCCTGCTCTACCCCTACGGTCTGGACCAGCGTGACCACAAGAACCCCAAACTTGATGATGGGACGTCGAAGAAGCTCTCCCTCGCTGTGCCCTTCACCTTCTACGGCAAAAAGCACCAAAATCTTTACGTACGTGAGCCAAAATTCCACATCTTCCTTGCTTGCCCTTCCATTTTCCAGGGTTTGGGGGGTTTTTTTGGCCCCCTTTTCCAGCCCATTCTGTCACTCGCCCCCAACACAATCTACGCGTCTGTGGGATTGTCCTGGTTGCCTTAACGAGTATATTTTTTTTCTGCATCAAAGTGTCCTCGTAGGGTTGGTAGGTCCTGGGAGGAGACCCACACCCCACCTGGAGCAGTGGTCGGGAGGTCCGTGGCCAAGCTGAGGTGGTTGTGTGCCACCACCATCCTCTTTTTTGACAGAGCTGTAGGTACAACTGTGACCTAAACACCTCCAGTAGGGTCACGGCGATGCAGATGTCAGTGCGAAGGCCACAGCTGGATCTTGTGTCCATCCCCAGGGTACCAGCGCCAGGTCGAGGTGTTGGACAGGGCTCCAGCATAGGCTGCCACCCCCATCTGGGTTGACCTGGTGTCTTTTGCAGGTGAACAACAACGGGGTGATTTCCTTCGGCACCCGCGTCAACCAATACACCCCCGACCCCTTGCCCCTGGCCGACGGACGCTCCTTCGTGGCCCCGTACTGGGCCGACGTGGACAATGTGCGGGGAGGAGATATCTTCTACCGAGAGACCACCGACCCGGCGCTGCTGGCACGCATCACCACCGACATCAACCGGTATTTCCCCGCCATATCCTTCACCGCCACGTGGGCTTTCGTGGCCACCTGGGACCGTGTGGCCTACTACGGCTCCACCACCAACAAGGTGAGGCGCACAGCCATGACGTGAAGTCCAAACGAGAGCACACACATGAAAACTAACTTATCCCCCCCGACTGGGTGCAGAGACAAGCGCGTGGCCGCAGACCAACAGAGGGCAGAGCGAATCGCGGCTTCAAATCGGTCGTCAGTGCGATGGCTGAGGGTTGAGACAAGCCAAAACCAGAGCCCAGCTGCAGGTGCTCGATTGGTTCGCCTCCACAACCTACTCATTCGCTCTCAAGACACGTGTTGGCCTTACAACCCGTGTGTTGGTCTTACGACCCATGTGTTGGCCTTAGAACCCATGTGCTGGCCTTAGAACCCGTGTGTTGGCCTTAGAACCTGTGTATCGGCCTTAGAACCCGTGTATCAGCCTTACTACCCGTGTATCGGCCTTACAACCCGTGCATCGGCCTTACGACCCGTGTATCGGCCTTACGACCCGTGTATCGGCCTTACGACCCGTGTATCGGCCTTACGACCCGTGTATCGGCCTTACGACCCGTGTATCGGCCTTACGACCCGTGTATCGGCCTTACGACCCGTGTATCGGCCTTACGACCCGTGTATCGGCCTTACGACCCGTGTATCGGCCTTACGACCCGTGTATCGGCCTTACGACCCGTGTATCGGCCTTACGACCCGTGTATCGGCCTTACGACCCGTGTATCGGCCTTACGACCCGTGTATCGGCCTTACGACCCGCGTCTTGGCCCTACGCCCCGTGTGTTGGCCTTAGAACCTGTATGTTGGCCTTACGACCCATGTGTTGACATTACGACCCGTGTGTTGGCCTTACAACCCACTCATGGACTCTCATGACCCACTTGTCGACCTTACGACCCTCTTGTTGGACCTGCAACCCTTGTGTTGGCCTTACGTTCCTTCTGTTGGTTTTCACAACCCGCTCACTGGCCTTTGTGACCTATTTGTTGGCCTCACGACCCATTTCTTGGCCTCATGAGACGTTTGTTGACCTTACAATCTGGTTGTTGGCCTTTGTGACCTCTTCCTCGGCCTTCACATTCCATTCATGGCCTCCACAACCCACTGCTTGGCCTCCACAACCCATCCACTGGCCTTTACCACCCCTTCCTTTGCCTTCATGACATTTTGAGGTGAACATGTGCCCCCCTTTTTGCAGGCCAACACCTTCCAAGCCACCCTGACCACCGACACCAAGACGTCCTTCATCATCCTCAACTATTGGGATATCCAGTGGACTACGGGGGCGGCGAGCGACGGTGACGCCGAAACAGGTCTTGGAGGCACCCCGGCCCATGTACGTGGGGCTGAAGGAGAAGCAGAGGGATACGGGATGAAGGAACTTGAGGAATGGAGGGGGAGGTGGACCAGTAATGGGGTTTTTTTTGGGACAACACCGGTTTGCTGAGGGTAGGACTTTGGCCCATGATATTTTGGGGGAAAACAACCCTGAAGGTAGGACTGTGGCCCATAATTATTCTTTGTAGAAGACAATGCTGAAGATAAGTTGGCCCATGATGGCTTTTTTTGGGACAACACCAGGTTCATCCAAGACTGGAAGTTGACCTGTACTGTTCTTGGGCTACAACAATGCCAATAGCAGTGTGGCCCACAGCGTTTTGGGGGAGAAAATACCAGGTTTTCTCATGGGAGAAGGTTGTCCCGTCCCATCTCTGGGGACAAAGAGGGTGAAGGTCGGCGATTGGCCCATAATGTTTTGGGGAGGACGATACCAGCTTCACCGAAGATCGGAGGTTGGTCCATAATGGTTTTGGGGGACACCACCACTACCAGTAGGGGTTAACCCTCCAAATTCTCCGGTTTGGACCCCCCCTTCCAGGCCGGCTTCAACAGTGGAGATGAAACCAACTTCTACAACATCCCCAGCTCCCAGACCGACGCCATCATCAACCTCACCCGGACCTCCAACGTCAACGTCCCGGGGCGTTGGGTCTTCCAAGCGGATCACTTCCAGGTGACGGGGGTCCCCACTGAGGTGTCCAAGGTCGCTGACAGCAACAACTGCTGGTTGTAAGTCGGGGGTTTTGGGTGGAAACCTAGAAAAAAATGGAAAATGGAGAATTATGCGGAAAACCACTTCCTCCTCTTGAGTTCTTGGTTTTTTCCCGCAGATAAATCGAGGCGTCTGGGGCAGAGGGACTGTCCCCGCTGTCCCCGTTGTCCCCCCGCCGCGGGCGTAGGAGGAGGTCGCCCAGCGGGGTGCATCGAGCTCTGCCCAAGCAATAAAATCGCAGCTGAGACATCGCGGCTCCGGCAGCCTCTTCCGTTCTCCCGGGGGTCCGTGCGCGGTCGGGGGGGTGGGTGGGAGTAGGTGTGCGCAAACCCAGCGCTTTTTCTGGCCTCTTTCTGCCTCGATTTGCGAGGTTTCCCACTCCGTGTCCGTGAGTTCACGCGTTTTTGCCCTCGGCGTGCACAAATATTGAGGGTTTTGTGTCTGCGTACACGAATTTCTGATTTATTGCCCTGTGTCCACGAATTTCTGATTTTTTATTGCTTGTGTCGTCAGGAATTTGTTGGGTTTGCCCTCAATGGGCAAAAATTTATGTGTTTGGTTTTTTTTTTTCCTGCACCTCTGAATGCAGTCATGATTTTTCCTCTCTCTACCCAAATTTATGATTTTTTGCCCTCTGTGGATGAATTTATTATTTTTCACTCTCTGTCCACATATTTATGATTTTTTGCTCCTCTGTGTGTGAATTTACTGGGTTTTTTTCACTCTAGCTTTACAAATTTATGAAACTTTCCCTCCTGCCTGTCAAATTTATCATTTTTTCCTTCTTCCTGAACATATTTATGATTTTTTTTTACCTTTTTTTTTGTGCACAAACTCATTATTTTTTGCCCTCTGGGCATGAATTCATGATTTTTCCCCCTCAGTGTGTGCATATTTATCTTAATTTTGCCCCCCAGATGCACACATTTATGATTTTTTGCCCTCTGGGTGCATAAATTTACCAATTTTGCCCTCTGCAGGCACAAAACTTGCATTTTTCTGTCCCTGCACGTGCATTGGTTGCATTCTCCCTGCAAACATCTACGGTGTTTTGCTCCATTTGCATAAATTTAGGATTTTTCACCCTCTGTGTGCATGAATTCCTCTCTTTTTCCCCCCCTATGTGCAGAAATTAATAGTTCTTGCCCTTTGTGCATAGATTTATCCCTTTTTTTCCCTCCACGAGCACAAATTTACGATTTTTTGCACTCCATATCCATGAATTATTATTTTTTGCTCATGTGCAGGATTTTTTGCGCTCCGCGCGTGAATTAATGATTCATCTACTCCCTCATGCATTTATTATTTTTTCGTATGATTTTCCCCCCTCTTTTGTAGAAAATGCCAAAAAAATTATGTCCAAACTCCCTGACCTCATTTTATTTCTCAAAATCCCTGACTTTTCCCCCATTTATGGGCATTTTCCTGCAGGATGTGGGGGCTGGGTTGTGCCAAGAGCCCGAGGGACTAATTTAGGGGAAAAATCAAAATTTTACAGGAAAAAAATCCACCAAAAAACCTCACCAAAAAAAACCCCCACAAATTGGGAATATTTTTCCCTAAAGAGGAGTTTTTTCCCCTAAAGAGAAAGTGGTTTTGCACGCGGAGACGAGCACGAACACGCGGTGCACCCCCGCACACTGGTGTACACGGCATGCTAGCGAACGACACACGTGTGCACGAGCCACAGACACCGCACAGACGACCCGCCAGGCACACGCACAACCTGCTAGTGAGCACAATGCGACACGCATGCACACGCCGTGTGACACGCGAATGTGCACAGCACGCCGATGTGTGCAACACAGCCTTGCACACTGCACCCATGTGCAACACCACACTCGGTGTGCACAGACGTGCACAGCACACGTGCCACACAACACGTGTACAACACAATGCACGCTAGGTGTGCACATGTGCTCACAACACACACGTGCAACACAACACAGAGCATGGGTGCACACACGTGTGCAAACCAACACAACACTCACTACACGCGAACACATGCACAATACACATTTGCACACCACATAGCATGCGTGTAACACAACGCGTGTACAACAGAACACAGAGTAGGTGTGCACACA